CTATGGTACAGACAATCAAGATTGAGTTACATTGGCCTGGATCCTTTTGCATACTTAAACTGGCATAACGCAAATGGCATAACATTGGGAGACCTTAAGATAAAAAATTACTGCAGATATTATCGTATATGTTGTATGTTGAGTTGTATGACTTAGCATGTAACTGATAACATCTTTGATGTTTTCTTAATTTGAGTCAATATACCTCCAGACGTTCTACCATGTCTATAGCTATGCAAGATGATTTTGGCCATCAAATCACAATCTGTCTTGAAGATGGACAATTTACAGTCCTGCTGCAATTCTACGATCCCCTACTACTGGCATTGTTTCCAAAGGCTGATGGGAGTTGCACCAATATCTGATATGGTGCATGGCCCGCCCACCAATCAAGCCTCAAGCCTTCAGTTATATCTGGGCCCATCCTCAATCACTGTACATGGAAGCCACACTTAAATGCTAAGATATAGTAAATACTAATGCTAACAACAACAACAACATACATACATACATAACTAACAACAACATACATACATACATACATATTGTGCTGATACTTAACAGATACTTAGGTTTTTAGTTAAAACTTGTATCTGTTATATAATACCAGTCAATGTTTTTATAATTTTGATTGACTGTGCCTGGTGTTTTTTAATCATCATCATCTTAGAACCTCAGAGCTAGAAAGAACATGATGGATCATCAAGTGCAGCCCCTATTAAGGAGAATTGAACTCCCAACCTCTGAGTGGATACCTAAACCACTGAGCTATCTGGCAATTCATACATTATGGAAGGAAGCTCTTTGAAGTTTAGCCATGGGAAAATCTGCCATTTCCATTTCTACTACATTCAGTTTTCCTCTGCTCTGAAGAAATTTGTGAATTTGGATACATACATACATACATACATACATTTATATCCCGCCTATCTGGTCAGTTATGATCACTCTAGGCGGCTTACAACATAAGTAAAATACACATAAAATACACAGATAGATACGAAATTATTACGTAATGAACAATGAACAAATTCAACGAGATGGAAAACAAACAGTAGGAGAAGAGAGGGAAGGAAAACATGAGAAGTTAACTTTCATAAGAAAATGGAAATGAAATTCTTTCCAGTGAGTACAGACCAAATTCAACAGGAACACCAGATATTCTTGGATGGACAGAGCTGTGTTAGAAATGAGGAGTCACCAGAAAACGCACACACACATGCACACGCATGCACGCACACATGCGCGCGTGCACACACACACACACACACACACACACACTTTACTTGGCACTAAATGGCTGAATACACAGGGATTCAAAACCAAAAATTTATTAAGCACTCAAAGCATTGATTCAAAAAGCATGAATATCTCAAGTCTCCTTTTCTCTCACATTCATTTTGAACCAGTTTTACATGCAGGGATAGGCAACACGTGGCCTATACCCTCACAAAGGCCCAATGTACAATACTAAATATTGTCAAAAAGGTTTTAAAAGCTTAATATTTTAAAATTGCTACCTATCTGCAAGTGGTAGCAATTTTATGTCATTGCACATATGCCACTATGAATCCCCAATAGACTTCTGGCCCTTGAGACCTGCTCTTACATAAATATTTGTAGGATTTTGCTCTTAGGTATTCAACTGTAGATTGGGAATGACACTGATTTCCTTTACTGCACAGGGATGTTGCAAGGACAAATATGTTGATGATTGCTAAGTGTTTGGTATATCAAAAGTGCTCAGTAAACCAATAGCGATAGAAACTGTGGCCAGGACCCTATTTCCAAGGCTGCCAACTATAGTGTTTACAAATTTATTAATGCGTTCTCCGGGACATTTGGTATTGCGAAAAATTCGCAAACCATAATGCAGTTTCCCATAGGGACGCATGCACAGGGCAGCACTATAAAGCTCCCAGGTGCAATGCATCCTGGGGCAACTTGCTTCATATTGCAAAAAAATAATAATCATAAACTGAGGCATTATTTTCTATCGATGGAAACTTGCTTCATATTGCAAAAAAAATATCATAAACTGAGGCATTATTTTCTATCGATTTTCATTCGTAAACCAAAAATTATGTGAACCGAGGCATTCGTAAACCGAGGTACCACTGTAGTTGAGAGGTGGGTGTAAGGATTAACTATCACATGCACTGGCCACATAAATTTGGGGCAACTGGCCTATGTCACCATAATTTTTAATTTGATCCTGGCATGGCTATTTTGTTGTTGATCAAAATACCATGAAGAATGGAAGCTGCAGAAAGAAGAAACAGACATCTTCATATATCATCTGATTCACCTTGTCGAATACTTTGACCCCAAGTCCTACCAATAGAGAAAACGTGTATACAGTAGGACCCCCTATATGTGGGATCTGCTGATACACTTATCCATGGTCTGAAAATATTAAAAATATTAAAATAAAACTCTCTGGAAAGATATATTTTTAACAATTAAGTTACCAGAACAGGCCACTAGAGGGGGGCAGAAATCATGTTATGTATAGCATTTACTATAATCCATGTTTTTCAGCATCTATGGGGAGATTGGAAATGTTCCCCCATAGATATGAGGGTTTTACTTTGATCTGACAGTGAATCTGTTGATCTTTTGAAAAATTTACTTCTTTTCTAAGGAGGAAGAAATCTAGATCTGGCAATCTCTGCAGCTCTTTCACATACCAAGGAAATAACATATTTATTTTCCTTACCTGTAAAGTTGGAAACGCTATATGTGCTTAACAACTAAGTTACAGCTGAAGCAGGATTAAAGTGTTATGACATTACAGCTGGAGATCTGAGACTACTGAGCTTGCTGTGGCAGTGTGCTCGCATACTGACATTTCCACTGAGCGCTTAAGGAAAAAAAATACATATGTTGTGTTTGTTAACACATTGCAACTGTTCGTTTGAATTGAAATTTAATCAGCCTGATACAGTTCAGAGAAACAGACTGATGCACTAGTATTGTTTCCTAGACTGGGAACTGCAGCAGACATAAAGGAGATATGCATCCAGCTATGAATTGCAATGCAAATCCCAGTAAGGATATTGTGTAACTGTACAGATGTTTACTTTTACTGCTCCCAATTAAGTGAGGTGCACATTCTAATGGAAACCCCTGTACTTGTGAAACCAGAATCTCTATTTGTGCATCATTAAACCTCCGGCTATAATCCTATATTCCCCGAATGGGTATCCCAGGAGGGTTTTTTTTAGGACACATTGGATCTTGATAGAATGCGGATAAATTACTTTTTGGTATTACAGTTCCTAAATCCCTTAATTGCTGGATGGCAGGTGTAGCTGTAAAAATTAACTTTCCCAACCTTTCTCTTTAAAGGGGGAGGGAGAACTGGAGTTGAAATAGCCCTCCCAAACTCTTGCAGAAATGATGATCATAAGGGCTCATCTGATGTAAGAGTTCTGGCGTCAGAGGGGGAACAGGAGGCATTCTGGGAGACGGGAGGAGTCAATACACGAAGAGGTATAACTGGGAGAAACAGTAGACGCATAAGCCTACATCCAACTGTGGAACCAAACTTAAGAAACCCCACTGAATTTATGAGACTTACACAAGTGTTGAATCACTATTTAGTAAATGATTCAGCAGGTCTAGACTTCATGGGATTAGCAACTGAATTAATACAACAGGATCTACAGCCCTTCCAGTCCCCAGACACCTCCTCTCTCCCCAGACTAGCAGTAGACCTACACCATTGCAGGGATGGGGGCTCAACTCGCAGGACTTGCTGTCAAGTCAGACTTGAGTCCCACTGGTGACTCGACTCAAATTCAGCTTGCAGCTCAGAACCCAAACCCCCTTTTGTCTGGGAAAAAAACCCTTGTTTTTAATAGGGACACGGACTTGGGGCTTGGGGTTTGGAATTCGAACCCGGGGACTTGCCAACATCCCTGCACCACTGCAGCTAAAGTAAGGAAAACAGTTTTTCTATGGGATTTTTAAAGGTTCTTGAGAGTAGAGATAACATACAAGAATGCTGCTTCTCCCTCCCATTAGTATGCTGGGACAAATTCAGCTGTGATTTGGAACCTTTCCTTCCTTTAACGCTGGAATTTGTATCCATCCAGCATTTGAATTGCTCTATGAATCTGTTTTCATTTCCTGAAGCTTCAAAGGATGGAAGCATGTTGTAACATTTCTGGAGAGTATAAATAGAAATACAGACCAGGGAGACCAGTATATTTGTGACGTGTCACTGAGCCTGCATAAGATGACTTTTTCCTGGATATGCTCCATTAGCTATCTCTGTGTTTTCCTTGATCTTTGACAATACAGGCAATTCCAGGAAGGCTGCAACTTCTAATTAGAGACCTGAGCAGCTTTCTCTCTTACTGGTGTACTCATTAAATTGATTTTTCCAGTCCATCATGTAATTGTTCCAACGAAGGATTCCTGCTTTCCATTCTCGTTCCGCTTCATCAATATTTCCTGTAAAACATGAAATGGGTGGCATTAATCTAAATTTCAATCTCTTTGTACATTAATTGAAAAATAATTCTGATCACAAATCCCTTTCTTTTTTCTTTAAATACACCACATTATGCCCCTCCCTTTTGTCACCTGATTTATTACAGATTCAAAGGGTAACACTTTATCTCTGGATCCTGGGATAATTGGGAGACACTTTTTTGCAGGCTGGCATTCAGTATCATATGGATTTGCATTTTCACTTGTCACACCCAAATGACATTAACTAAGGAGGTTACCATTCATGAGCAATAAGCATTCAGAGTTTCAGCTAGAAGATTCAATAAATCTCAATAATTTTCATTCCTGGAAAGAATCAAACAACCAATCAATCAAATCTCATAGACTAGGTTACAAAATATTATCACAAATACAGCAATGGTTTTCAAGAACAAATTATAATGGATATACTACTGATGACTTACGTATTACGAGCAGCACGAAGTACAGTGGTGCCTCGCTTAACGAGTGCCTCGCTGAGCGATGAAATCAGGAAGGCTGCAACTTCTAATTAGAGACCTGAGCAGCTTTCTCTCTTACTGGTGTACTCATTAAATTGATTTTTCCAGTCCATCATGTAATTGTTCCAACGAAGGATTCCTGCTTTCCATTCTCGTTCCGCTTCATCAATATTTCCTGTAAAACATGAAATGGGTGGCATTAATCTAAATTTCAATCTCTTTGTACATTAATTGAAAAATAATTCTGATCACAAATCCCTTTCTTTTTTCTTTAAATACACCACATTATGCCCCTCCCTTTTGTCACCTGATTTATTACAGATTCAAAGGGTAACACTTTATCTCTGGATCCTGGGATAATTGGGAGACACTTTTTTGCAGGCTGGCATTCAGTATCATATGGATTTGCATTTTCACTTGTCACACCCAAATGACATTAACTAAGGAGGTTACCATTCATGAGCAATAAGCATTCAGAGTTTCAGCTAGAAGATTCAATAAATCTCAATAATTTTCATTCCTGGAAAGAATCAAACAACCAATCAATCAAATCTCATAGACTAGGTTACAAAATATTATCACAAATACAGCAATGGTTTTCAAGAACAAATTATAATGGATATACTACTGATGACTTACGTATTATGAGCAGCATGAAGTATGTGCAACAGTATATGTAACACCATGTGAAATAACCAATTTAACATGCTCAATATCAAATCAGTGTATAACTGTAATGGGCAAACTCTTGTTCAGATTGACCATCCACAATGTGCACAGAGAAAAAGCTGCCTAAAATCCTTGGACCACAGACATCTGTTTCTGTGCATACATATCCAAACCATGCAATCATTTTTTAGGAAGCCAAAGATAATAGCAGAAACAATTCACATGGAAGAGGTTTCACCTTCCTCTGGCTGCCCTGCACACATGGCTTCTCTCCAGAGTGGATCAATAGTGTTCGCTTAACGGTGAGTTTTCAAGCCATAGGAATGCATTGAACGAAGTTCAATGTGTTTCTATGGCTTTTTTTATTCCGTTTAGCGATGTTTCGCTATAGCGAAGGTTAATCCGGAACGGATTAACCTCGCTATGCGAGGCACCACTGTATGTGCAACAGTATATGTAACACCATGTGAAATAACCAATTTAACATGCTCAATATCAAGTCAGTGTATAACTTCAGTGAGAAACTGTAATGGTCAAACTCTTGTTCAGATTGATCATCCACAATGTGCACAGAGAAAAAGCTGCCTAAAATCCTTGGACCACAGACATCTGTTTCTGTGCATACATATCCAAACCATGCAATCATTTTTTAGGAAGCCAAAGATAATAGCAGAAACAATTCACATGGAAGAGGTTTCACCTTCCTCTGGCTGCCCTGCACACATGGCTTCTCTCCAGAGTGGATCAATAGTGTTTGTGGATTTTATTAATACAGCATCTAAAATTGTGTTGCACAATTCTGTGTGCACAATGGGGTTAATGTCATCAGCAGCAGTGAATTGCTGCTGATTAAAGGGTTCCTTTGGCAATTTCAGGGTGCATGCAACACATATGCAGTGTGGTGGAGCCTCATGCACTCTGAAATCACCAGAGATTGATTGCTTTTGATCAGCAAAAAGCACCACTGCTAATTATGTCAATCCCATTGTGCATACGGAGCTATGCAACAGGATTTTTGCCTCTGCTTCTGATTCTGAATAAGCTGTTAGTATCTGTCACTAGCCATTTAGACAACTATAAAATTATTTGCAATCAGTTCATATTTCTGGCCTATCCAAAACTGATTATTGCAAAATATCCATGGGTAAGCAGCGCATTCTCCTTAATTCTCCCATCAAATGTTGATGATCTATGCACCAAAAATGTCAGAAATGTTTGGATCTTCTCCTCATGAAGCAGAATCTTCATCCTTCCTGATAAAACATAAATCTCCAAACTCAGAGGAAACACTAAATTCAACAATAACATCAAACTGTATTTAGTATATTAAGTATATTTAGTATATTAACTGTATTTAGTATATTATACTAATATGTTAAGTGAAGTCAGTTCATATTTGATCATCTTGAGGACCATGTCAATCAAACTGAAATTCTGAGAAATGTTTTATGAATCCTGAGCGTGTCATCTGCAATGTACACATACAGTTCTATTTTTATCCCTTTGAGGGTCACATTTTAATGGGATCTGACTGGTAGTGGATTTTTGCAGATTATATATGCAGCAAAAAAAAAAAAAATCAGATCTCAGCCAGTAACTATGGGGATCCATTTGCCCCCTTCCCCAGTCTTTGCAACTATACTTGCACCAATGACCATGTGCACAAATGACCACATGTTCGAGGGAATATATAGTGGAAACAGGCAGAGTTCTTAATTTCCCCCCCTTCTTTCTATTGTCTGCTCTGTTGCACCCACACTCGTCAACGGATACACTGATCTTCCTTATCCTCTTTCTTGATTGTGTAGCCAGGGGAAGCACCATCTTTTCTCTCACCTAGATATGGAGTTCATTCTAATAATTGGGGGGGAGTTGCTCAGTGGTACAGCACTTGCTTTATATACCAGAGCATGTGCTGCATCTCTGAGCTACTAGTATAATTGAAAAAAAGTCAGGAAGAGGACAAATGGTTCAACCTTGGCATCTTCAGGAAGCAAAGAATCACTTCTGGCCTGAAACCCAGAGAAATGTTGCTGGTCAGTGCTGACAATACTGAGCAAGATGGAGCAGTGGTCTGACTCAGAACAAGGTAGTTTTCTATGCTCCCTATTCTCTTTTCAGTGAAGACCATCTTTTGTTGGGAACCAAACATTAGCTTCTATAAAGGCTAGCACCTATTCCTCAGATCAGGAACAGCCATCTGATGGGTGATATTTTTTCCTGGGATTGGGTAGGCATGGCCTTCTGGTAGCATCGCAGCCCATATTGCATGATATTCCTCTACACATCCCTCATTTGGGGGTCTCAGGTATAATTCTTAGGAAATAGAAAGTAATCTTATCTATCTATCTATCTATCTATCTATCTATCTATCTATCTATCTATCTATCTATCTATCTATCTATCTATCTATCTATCTATCTATCTATCTATCTATCTATCTATCTATCTATATAAATCCACATGAGTCTCTGGGTCGAACCCCCTGAGGTGAACAAATTGTGATTTGTTTGTTTGTTTATGTATTTATTTATTGAATTTATATCCTGCACCATCTGGCAACCAGGCCACTCTGGGTGGCTAAAAACAATATAAGGAGAGAGAGAAAAATTAAAAATGCGATTAAAAAAGTTAATACATAGTAAATCAGAAAAACAGATGGCAGTAAGGTGGTGGAAAGGGTGATGGAGAGGATAGCAAAAAGAATGGTAAAAAGGGAGGGCAAAATACTAGTGCTCTGGGAAAGCCTGGCATCAAAGCCAGGTCTGCAATGCTCTTTTGAATCCATCCAGCGAGGATGCCAGACAAATCTCAGTTCGTAGGTTGTTCCATAGGTGTGTGTGTGGGGGGGAACCACCGAGAAGGCCCGGTTTCCTGTGTCAAAGCCAGGTCTGAACAAATCTCAGTTCGTAGATTGTTCCATAGGTGGGGGGAGGGAACCACCGAGAAGGCCCGGTTTCCTGTTCTTTCTCTCTGGGCCTCCTTCAGGGTCAAGGCCCTCAACCGCCCTGCCTGTGAGGAACGGGTATTACGGACAGATCTGGCTGGGAGTAGGCATTCTGATAGGTACCTAGGTACCCTCTGGCTGTTTCTGCTTTTATCAGAGAGAAAGGTGTGGGATTCTGTGGTATGTAGAAAATCAGCCTTGGCCTTGTGCTGCTGCCCATCCCTGATGTAAATAAATTGTAATATTTTCAAATTCTCTTTGAATGCCAATTTGAAAAATGAATTCTCATATATGGTGCATTTTCCTTCAACTTGCATTTTGAAATGTTCAGGGTTTTGCCTTTCCTTTCCTATCATCTGCCACCGCTGACATCATCTGCTTTTTACCTAACTATATACAGAAAGATAGTAAGTGTCAGGATGACCTTGTGAAGCTAGAGGAATAGATACTAGCAGCTGGACACAGGCCACATTTTACTCAGGGTAGAGGACAATTTATTAGCCTACGCTGGTCGGAAAAATAAATGCCTTTTCTTTTACCTGGCTGCTCATCAGCATTGCACCTGCAAGCATCTTTCTGACTAACCGTGATGATAAATATGGCTTGATGATTTGGGAGAACAACATGACCTTAGAAACTGACCAGAGGTCTTTGTGGTACATGATTTGGATCTACATTTTCTACATTCCTCCGGAATATCAAACCGTAATGGCTTCAAATAAATCACCTTTGCCAATCTGGCTGTGCTATAATCATCTGCACATGTATGGTGCTCTTACAGAGGTGTGGATGAAGTCTATATCTCCCCAGGGAATTGAAAGGCTGCTGCCAATTACTACTCCAAATTTTACCATGCTGATCACAAAGCTTGGAAGGTGGGGAGAGTTAGTTACATTTATAGATGGATCACGGTTTGACGCTGAAGGAGAGTGCTTCAGTTCAGCAGGCATATTTTAGTTTCTCACTTGAAACGCAAGACATGAAACCACATCTGCCCAGTATGGGAAGAGGAATGCATTTTGGCAGGGCCTGGAGATCCAGAGGCTGCAGTTCCCATCATTGTGAAGGAGGGGTGGGTGAGGGTTGAAGATAAACTGTGATCCTCCATGACAATACAGATGGGATGACAGATTGTGGTGTTAGTGCAGACAAGGCACATCCATAGAATCTTAGAATCATGGAATAATGGAACTGGAACACATTGAGCTCAACCCCTGCTGATTACAGGAATCCAAATAAAAGTACAGTGGTGCCTCGCATAACGATGTTAATTGGTTCCATTAAAAACATCATTATGTGAAAACATCGTTAAGCGAAACGCCATTTCCCATAGGAATGCATTGAAAACCAGTTAATCCGTTCCAATAGGAGCCTATTCAATACATTTCAATGGTGAAAAAAAATCACCAAAAATTCAAAAAGACTCAGAACGAAGCCAAATTACTTTAACGAAGGTTTTATTAGGTGCACTAACGATTCCAAGCATTTTAAACATTTTAGAATATTTTTAAAATAGCAAAAACAGGGCTGTCAAAAAAAACATTAAGCAAAACAGGGGA